CAGGAGTTGGAGGCTGCAGTGACATGTTGCCACTGCACTCCAGCCTGGACAACAGAGTGAGACCCTGACTCAAAAGAAATTCTGACACTCACTAAAATATAGACAAACCAGTAAACACTATGCTAAGTGAAATAAGCCAGGCACAAAAGGATAAACACTGTATGATTCCATATGTACGAAGTATCTAGAAGCATTAAAGCACAGAGACAAAGAAATGGTGGGTGCCAGGAGCTGGGGGAGGCAGAGGAGAGTTATTGTTTAATGGATAGAGCCTCCATTTTGCAAGATGAAAAGCTCTGGGGATGGAGGGTGATTATGGCTATACAGCAACATGAAGTACTCAATACCACTGAGCTGTACACTTAAATGTAGCCAAGATGGTACATTTTATGTTAAATGGATTTTACCAAGTCGTTTGGCTTGTGCTGCTGTGACCAAGAGCACGAAGGCGAGACCCTACAGCCTGGAAGTAGAGGCAGTCCTTTATAAGATCAGTCCCTGAGCTCATGGGAAATCTGACGATCACACCCTCAGTAGCTGACCAGCACAGCCTGGCTGCCCACTCTCGTTCAGCTACACCCTCATCACAATCACCTGAGGAACCACTGAGCCTAGTGAGGGTGCATCTGGACAGCCTGCCACCCTGACCTTGGCCTGTGGTGTGTGGAAGGTGGCCATGGTGTTCGGAGCTCCTGAAAGCACCAGGAGCGGCACTATCCTCTCTGGAGACATTGTGGCCTGTGGACTGGACCATGCTCTGTCACCACTATCTGCAGCCCCAGCAGCTCCAGCCACAAGGAACAGTTCTGAACCTCACGCTGGTGGAGGGTCTGGCTGCCGTTACAATTTTCTTTCCAGATCTTCTCTGGGACCCACATCTGATAAGCATGAGTGTTTTCCAAGGAGCTGAGAAGACATCCAAGCACTTCACAGATGGCCCAAGTGTGAGTCTCACTTAAAATGGATGACAAGATGAAACTCAGACCTATATACTTAGCACATTTCATCTTTCTTAGGTTATGCATTGTTTTAGCAAAAATAAACAATGGATTTCCTGAGAAAACTGGGAAAAGCTTGGTGCTGCCTTCCTTTCCCATCCAGGCCAAGGAAGGCGCTGGTATAGACACCACCTGAGAAGCTTGGTGGAGTCAAGAGAGTGGGGGTGTGGTGGAAACTGGGCAGGAACATGGAGAAAATAAGGTGGGGGGCAGCATTTCCCTCAACAGTTGGGACCAAGGGTGTGGCCACACAAAAGGCAGCAGCAGTGCCCTGGGAGTCTCAGTAACATCTTGCATGTCTGACCTTGAGAGAAACTCTTTAAAGTCAAATTCAGAACAGTTTAAAGAAAGATTCTACAACATATATCTGTACATGTGCACAGGTGTCATAGTGTGTGTCCATCAGGACTCGGTTGTGACAACAGAGGCCGCTTCATCTAGCTTAAACGCTGCACTCGAAGGTAACCTCCGGCCATGCTGGGCCTTGGCTGCACAGAAGATAGATGGGCCAAAGTGATGCCTGCAGAACTGATGCCACACTGTCCACAACTGGCCTTCAGATCTGTTCCTCCTCTGACACCTGGAAAGTGGAAGTCATGACCACACGGCCCTGTGGCTGGTTCCAGGGCCACATGGCCTGAGCCACCATCCCACACCCAGGACCCTTGCTACTGTTGTTTAGAAACCAAGCACTCTGGCTGCCAGTCAGCAGAACAGGAGCTTGGCTCCACCCTCTTCACACTATTTCCAGTTCTCCACAGGCATGTCTTGGAGCGCAAGCTGAAGGGACTCTGGGAAACGTAGACATCACACATGCAAAGGCTACACGTGTCAAGACACGTCGACGTCCTCAGACTCTGGGTCAGAAGACTCCTCACTTGGGGTTCCCAGAGGGCTGCCAGGCTGGGGTCTGACAGCCCACCTCTCAGGCCTCACTCTGCTGCAATTTGCAAAGCCTGGGTGGATGCACAAGCAGCCTGCTGCAGAGGGAAGCCCCAGTACCATGGAAAGGTCCATCTGGGAGTGGACACTCCCACAGGCCAGTGCAGCAGTGGGCCGTGAGGAGGGCTGGCCTCAAAGGTCCAGCTCTGGGAGGATGCTCCAGTCTCTGTCTCTTGGGCACCTCGGTGAGCTTGGAGAAGCCAGGCTGGTGGCCAAGGCTGTTCAACACATGTGCTTCGTACACATATGGACTTCACCATGACTTGGAAATACTCCATATGAAAAACTCAACTGCATCTGAGATCTGCTTGCATTATCACCAAAAACACCATGAACACACTTTGGCAATGACAGAAAAAGGAGAGCTGTTCAGACACATACTACATCTAGTTTTCAACATCTGAATGACTTTTTAAAAGTTTTACATTGTTTTCAGCTACTTGTGTCAACAAAGTTTCTTGTCAGTGGTAACTACCTACCAAAAACTCGGGAGGATTAATATGTCTTGACTAGGGATTGAGCCAGGAGTGGTGGTATACACCTGTAGCCCCAGCTACAAGAAGCTAAAGCAGAAGGATAGCCTGAGTCCAGGAGGTTGAGGCTGTGGTGAGTCACGATTGTGTCACACACTCCAGCTTGGGTGACAAGAGTCAGACCCTGACTCAAAAAAAAAGAGAAAAGAACTGAGTTGGGTGTGGCAGTATACACCTGTAGTTCCAGCTACTTGGGAGGTTGAAACAGGAGGATGCATTGAGCCCAGGAGGGTGAGAGCAGTCTGGGCAAAATAGGGAGACTTCATCTCTACAAAAATAAAATTAAGTTAAAAAAAACTGTACATAGCCATTTCAAGCACACAACCTGATATTTAATCCTTCCTTATGTCTAGAAAGCAAGATCAAGTTTTGCATTGAGGATTCTGAATAAAATTTATGTGGAAATTTCAACTTTTAATATCTTCCCTATATTTTGCTGATGCTATTTCTTATCATATAAAGAAAACATTTTTTTCCACCAGGTGCCAAATAGACACCCCAAGTGCTTTGCAGCCGGAGCTATAGAAGTGTATCACGTTCCATGTGTGCCACAGATCAGTGCTTTTTAGGGAACAAAGGAACCTTGCAGAGGTGATGGGAACAGTAATGATCTTGATTGTGGTGATGGTATTATAGGTGTTTGTGCACACCTGTCAAAACTTACCCAACTGTGCAGTTTAACATATATAGCTAATAGTATGTCAATTATACTTTAATAACACTATTTTTTTAAACTATGGAAACCAGTCACAAAGTGCATTCCAGAAAGGTATGAATTCACATTTCACCAGCAGCCAATCCCTGTCAGCACTGAATTCTCCAAGGAGAAAAGCCCTGCTGATGTGAAACCAACACTCTTGCTTGTCTGCATGTACATGTCTCTACAGGAGACTGAAATGTTTCCAGGCTGACCAGCACTTTGCCCAGTTGTCCTTCACTAACAAAGAGCAGTGAAAAGTGCTGACACTCAAATGTGGAATGCTGTGGAGCCTTTCCATCTGCCACGTCGATTAGTGCATGCTGAAGGTAGTTATAAGTAGCCATACATTTGTCCAATTCTTTCAGTGAATCATAATTAGCCACTAGAAGAAACAGACACACACTTGACACTGAAAGAAAAAGCCTTCATATCTTTAATAAAAGAATTTTCATCTTGTCCTGAAGCTTGTGAAGGCTCCATCGCTTGACCCAGCACATGAAGCTAGTGATGTCCTCTCAGTAGCTCAAAGCCAGGTCTCCTGGGATGGGAGCTGATGAGCAGCAAACGCAATGACGTGGGTCAACAGCACTGCCGTGACTCAGAAGAGTAATCCCTGGGCCTTGGCCTCCTCACTAGGAAATGAGGGAGGGATGTCACGATTGCTTCACTCCCATCCCATTCCTTTCTAGAAGCAAGCTGCACCAGCTGTCATGCTGCTGCAGCTCCTGTATTGTCAGCCTGGGTTCCTCAGCTACTTTTCTTGTAAGCCCACATCAGCAGCCCACACTCCTGCCCTGCCCTCTCCATGGTCATAGGAACTAACTCCCCTCATTTTAGAGATAAAGAGAGGAAGGTCCAGAGAGAACCAGGGTAACTGCTGCCCTTGAAGGGCTGCTACAATAAAGTGCTGAGCAGCACCCGACACAGTGCATCTGTGGCTGGGGTGGACACACCACCCTGCAAAAGCCCAGGCCCTCATAATCGCACACCAGCAAGTCAAACACCTGCTAGACAGGTAGACTGACCAAAACAACCAAACTTAGACAACTACTAGAACGAAGAATGAACAAACCTAATTGAAAAACAGTCCTCAGGACTGGTCTACAACACAGCTCAGTGTGCATTTAATTTAAAAGACATCCTGATATGGAAGGGAATGAAAGCAGGAGAAAGGGATGCCTCAGCAAGAGTCACATATCACAACTCACAGCCTGCGGATTGAACAAACGTGGCTCCCAGTCACCTGTCATTATCTCCTGTTTATCTCTTATTGGGGCCCAGGAAACACTCTTAGTGCTTGTTTCAAACACGAATGCTGTCCTCACCCATTTTAACATGCTACCTCACTAACTCACACGTGTGGCAATCTTAAAAGAAGGCAGTTCACTTACCAGTGCTTGGGAATGAGGTAAAGGTACAGCCCCAAGTATAAGAATAGCCCAGAGCAGGAATATAAACATCCAGGTTCCAAACATGAGGACTCCCCATCTAACTTGCCTGTGACTCCTCACAATTAGGAATCCAGTGTCTAATGCATCCATGCATCAAAGCTAATGAGAACAGCCCACCAACTTCCTCAAATGTCTGGGCAATAGGGAAAAGAAGTGTGGTTGAAAAAACGACCCTCCTGGAATTTTCTCAGCATGTTCTAAAATGCCAGTAACAACACTTCTTACGTCCTTAAAATTAATCCTAGCCATGAACTTAAGTAACACATTTTGTTACAGTGAACAGCAGGGTTAATTCAACAGACACCAAAATGTCGTTTTTATTAGTTATTTTTACAAATACATGTCTCCTAATATGAAAAGGTTGAGTTTTACTTGATCATGTGCTTTGCAAATTGACACCAGCCGCAGGCAGGGCTTCTCCCAAGTAGATTTTAGTCTTCAAGAGGGTGGCTGCCTCCTCCATGTCCAGCCTGTCCATCTCCCAGTTATTAACCTTACGAGAGAGGACAACAATCAGCTTGTGAGGTGATGGCAACACACAAAAAATAAAAGCCAACTTAGAGACCCAAACACAGAAAAGGAACATCAACTGTTTTTTTAAAAGCAAATGGTTGAAAGAATAGAATTGAATGTGATGTTAAAACTGAATAAAGCATAATGTAGTAATATTAGATAAAAATAAATGGCTCATAAAAAAAAAAAAAAAGGAAATGGCACCTTATAAGTACTCCTATTATAAAGGCCTAATGAGACTATATGTTAGGGCTGACAAAAACTCTAGCAGTAAAAATAATTAAAATCCTAAGGATCTCTAAATGGTGCAAAAATTACTATCTTGAGAAAATCTTCCTTAAAATAATCACAAGTATGTACAACAGTCTTAACCAGCAGACCACCAAGAGAAGGGGCCATCTTAACCTCAACAACCCATGCATCACTCACTTTTGGACGCTAAGGTGCCATGAAAGCAGACTGTTTCCACCTCATACTACATGCAGAACCCAGCACTTAGATGGTCCCAGCACTTCACATATACAGATTTATGCATAAGATTCCTGCTGCACAGAGACATCCGAAGAGGTTATGCTGCAGGAATCAGAGAGCATCAGAAGCAGGAGGAGACGTGTCCTTTCAACCATTCAGCCTCCTCTAGGGACACATACCCTACCTACAACAAGCTCACCCTGGCCAGGAAAATAAAGTCTTGACATCTTCTCTTCCCTTAAAGATAACCTGAAAACTGAATAAGGTTTCATGTGTCTTCAATTAAATAAGAAAATAAATTATTTATACTCTTCCTCTTAGCAAAAAGGATCAAGGCAGACAAAAATAACATTTATAAAAGCCCAATTATAGGAATCAGCTAGGCAGAATCTAAATCATCTACCAGAAATGTTCTTTTTCAAAGAAAACAATAACTAAGACATTTATCACAATAAATGTTGACAATTCCTCCAGAGTTCTAGTAAGCAGCTTCACCCACAAGACTCTTGGCAGCTGTGAGAATATACATCAGTCATGGAAGAATATTTATTTGCATTTTTTCTTACCAAGATCACGTGAAAACCCATTATATTCAAATGCTGCATTTTCTTAGCAAGGAATCCTCTGGGATGGCTCAAACCCAAACAATATGCAGACCTAGGAACACAGAGTACAGCTACTCTGGAAACAAACAAAACAAGAACAGTTACCAAGATGACCATCCAGTCTTGCTGCAGCCTTGATCTTCGAAAATTTCAAAGCCAAGTTCCATGGCTCACACTCCTTACCACTCCCAAATGGCTCATCCTTAATTACTGTGCTTGATCTCTGCAGATATTCTAGGACCAAGGCTATATTATAAACTAAAAGTACATAATAATGCTTTACCCAAACAGCTATTCTCAGCCACCTCTAAGGATGGCTACACCTTTGATAAGGAAAATTTTCAGATATGAAACCACCCATTTTAAGGGACTTAAGTCGATGCCATGTCAATCTCTGATCTGAATGTAAGTATTTATACTACCAGTAGAAGTATTGGTGTAGATAACACCCAACAGTGAATGCTCTTTTTGTGCATATTGTCTCCAAAAGAGAGCATTTAAACACCAGAGATGGGAGACCAAATGCAAAGAAAATCCTAAGAGAAAGGCAAGACTGCAAAAAACATAACATCTGTCAATGTAACAAAAACGTGGAAGATATAATTTGTTTTTCCATTGTTCCTGGCACTCTGGAAATATTAAGTTCAGTGGGAGATAAAAGAAAAACATAAAAGACATTTATATCCTTACTGTCCTCTCCTATACTCCGCTGTCATAACAAGATAAATTGCTACTTTTAAAGGAATGTTCATACTCTTCACAGAATTGCATGCTGAGAACTACTATGGTACTTTATTTTGCTGGGAGAGTGGAATACCTAGAAAAGAAAAAGGATCTCTGTGTGGGGTCCAAGAACAAGTCTTTTGGTGGGGAACGGGGAACATGGAAGGAAAGGCAACAGGTGAGACAGATGGTCCAAGGAACAAGCTGAAAGACTTGGAAGGGCTAGAAGTCATGGAGCTGCACAGCAGTGGAGAGGTGGGCAGATAAGAGTCTGAGCTTTCTCTGTTCATCTCTCCAGTAGAGTAACAGGAGACAGGAGCTTCTGGGGTCAAGATCTGCGGCTGCCTCATCTTCATGCCCCAGGGCCTGACAGTCTTCCATACACCGAGTGCAAAGATCACATGACTGCACACAGTTACTCAAGAGGTGGACATTCCCTCATAGGGTAGCATCACACTTCTCCCAAGAACACCTTCCTGGCCACATGTTAGTCAAGAAAACAACTTAGGATTCAATTCAGTGTGCTCTGACTCATACACATACAGCCTCATTAACAAGGATCCTCAACCTCTGCAAGAGTCTTGGTGATGGAGTCAAGTATTTCTTGGGTATCTGACTTTTGTAGAAGTCTCAAGTCTTTATGATCACTATTAAATTGTCTTATCAGAAGTTTGCACTGCACTGATGGTTTTGCAACGTTAGCATTGCCTTACTCAAATGTTTATCTTCAAAATTCAGTTTTCATTAAATGGCCCACCCCAGTCCCCTATATTCAAGTGCACTGCCCATATCCACACCCAAGGAGGAGACTCATGGATGAGATCCCTTGGAGTGTTCAAGCTCCTTATAAATATGAGATCTTAGTATTACTACCATGAACTCTTTCAGATTTAGGATTTAATCTCAGAAAGTCCAGCAAGTGAGAACATGTAAGCAACCTTTGAATATCTGTAGAAGCTGCATCCACATCAGAAAAGGGAAGCACCTGAGTCCTGTCAGTGTTCATTCGGATTTCAAAATCTGAAAGGAAAGAACTGATATTAATTTTTCAAACAGTGTTCATTGTAATTTTTGTTTCATGACATCAAATACTGCTATCAACATCGAGAATGGCAGTAGCTCAAATACACTGACAGCCGTCACATGCCAGACACCAGCCTAGGGATCCACATGGAGTTTCAGTTCCTGGTCACAGAACCTTACAAGGCAGGGGTGAATGTTGCCATCATAGAGAAGGAAAGTGAGGCTAGCAAGGGCCTACAACCACAGCACTTACAAGCTGCAGAGCACGAAGTCAACCCAACGAGGTCATGTTACATGTCACTGAATTGCTGCCATAAACACCTCATCTTTTGTCAGAAAAAAAGAACAATAAATGAAATGAAGGGAAATCACGTGTCCCATACCAACATGATAATCGTGCGGCAGCTGCACATTCTCTGAGAAGAACCTGTCTCCACCCAGCAGGCTGCTCAGCACCTGAGCCACCTTCACATGTTGATACTGTGGCATCCGAGGCAGCTGTGGGAGTGGCAAGTCTATGGGCTTGTGGTAAGGAGTATCGTCAAGCTCTAGACAAGTTTCCAAGAGACGCAGCTTGTGCACATTTCTCTCCATGTCATCTAAAACAAAAAAGGAAGAAATAAATCATTAAGAAAACATACTGATACCACATTTTAAAACAGTATTAATGCAACTGCATTTCCAGTGACTTCTTTCTTATCTCTAGGAATCTTTTTCTCCTTCATTCCCACTGTCTAGATCAAAGCCTTTCACTCACTAATGCTTTAGGGTTTAATATCTCTTTAGTGGTCATTTAGTCTGAACCCTCCGTGTTACAGATGGGGACATGTCCAGGAACGTTAAAACCCTCAAGATGAATTAAAGGCAAAACTGGGACTCCAATCTAGGTTTCCTAGGCTCAAAGCTGTCTCTTCAATATCACATGGCCTGAAAAATCAGCACATGGTGTTGACTCTTCATAGTTCCATTTTGAGATTTTATAACATTGTTTTTTAAAACAATTCAAACTATTCTCAAACACATCATCAAGTTTTCCACATCAACCTGGTTATTGCTCTTCCTTGTTGACTAGTTAAGACTAAAAGCTAACTGTTGATTTAGTTCCAAGAGTAAGTGAACTAGCTAATTTGGTATCTGTCTGGTTTCTTGATCTAGCAGGCATGCCCTCAGACAGGCCACCAAATGACCAGGTGTTTGTAGCTTCAAAGGCAACAGCCCTGATGGAGGCACTGAGAACAGGAACACTTAGCCTCTGCAGAGGCAGCCTCAGTGACAGAAGGGTAGTGAGGATGCCTTCCTGCTCGTGCCCTCTACATACAGGGTCTTCATGAAAGCAAGTGCCAACCTGATTTCACCATCATCGGCCCTTTCCTCACTGAAATATGCTCTGCAAACCTTAACTAACAACACTCCAACTAAGCCTGCTCAGAATCACATTTTGGTCCCCGGTGTGCACAGACACCCTACCTGATGCCAGCAACTCACTGATGACATCCTTTTGGAGAAGCTGATTCACAGGAGCGAGGGGAAAATAATTCATCAAGCAAAATGACCACACAGCATTCAACAGGTTTTCAGAGGAGATGTGGGGGAGACAGGCTGTCAGAGCGCTAGCCATAACCCCCAGGAATTGCCTGGAACAACAGAAAGTTCATTTTCAAATATAAAAAGGCAGGGTCATGGTACAGTTAGTGAGGTGCCACAGAACTAAGATCTTTAAGGATCCCAGAGAAAAGAGGCAAGAATACCAGGCTTGCAAAAAGCAACCCAAGTGCCCCTCCCCCCAGCACTCTGGGCAGGCGGCCATCTCATCCAAGTGTGCATGTTCAGTAATTGTTGGCTGCTGCTCTGCCTGCACAGGACAAATGTCTGACAAATGCCACCCATGTCGTTCCCATTAAACTCAATGGGACATTATCATTCTCACAATAAAAATAAGTAAACAGGCTCAGGGGAATTGAGTAACTTGCCCAAGAACATACAGCCAGGGAAGAAGCAGAGACAGTACTGGAACCCAAGTATCAAGCGCCAGAGCCTCTTAACTATGCTGGAGGCTCTAGGCACCCACCCCTCAGAGATACCAGCTCCATTTCTGACTGAAGTACCCTGGGAGGGGCCCAAAGCCACTCTCACTGCTCACCACCTGCCCTATGGAGCTCTGGGGCCACCATGGCTGGGACCCAGCATAGGACCCCATGCTTGTGTAAGGGAACAGCATATCTTAAGGAGGTGCTGATCAGCCGTTCTCAGCTCCAGAAGAGGGAACTCCCAGCTTCCTCCTCCACCCAAGGCTGCTGGTGGCACACCAGATTCAGTGCCCAGCTGTGCAGCTGATCCCTGGTGCCTAACATACCACCACAGCCTGTCATAGTGGATCACCCAGGGACTCAGACAAGCAGAGAAAAAGGATCCGCGACAGAGGAGCTGCCCACCTCGGTCATTTTCCAGGCAGACATTTACACTGCCTGCTCACTACGAACAGCCTCCACCTCAGTTTCTAAGGTAATGGCACTACACAGGAGACAAATCCCCTCCCCTACGCTGAATCAGACGCAGGCAGCACAGCGTCGCAGACCTCTCAAGGCAGCAGGCTACAAGAACAAACCCAAGCTGTGAGTAAATCTATCTGCCTGCAATGAAAGCAAAGGGGAGAGGCTGGAGATCAGAGCTGAAGAGACTTTAGACACTCAGGAAAGATTCCAGAGCTAGTCTGATTTCTTATTTTGACTTTTGATTTTATCATTTTGACTGTTTGTTTTGCTCACTTTTGTTTGCTTTTTGACTTAGATTATCTGTTTGTGTTGGGGAAAACGCATCAAAAGACATGATTTTATTGGACTGTCTTTCTGTTGCTACCGGTATACTTTAGGGAATTTTGCCTGTGTGTCTTTTTCACTCCCCTCTGGCCGTGTGTCTCTTTTTCACCTGTTAGTTGGTATGTATGTCTGTTTTCCCTCTCACGCTTCTCTCTTTCTAACTTCCTATTGACCCCCCTTCCTCCATTATTTTCTTCTTTCATACCTCCTATTGTTCCAATGACCAAACCTAAAACCCGCTGCAAAGACAGATTGTAAGTCAGTGGGAAATAGGTTCCAGAGTGCCCATACACCTGTTGGTGGATACTGGAATCAGCAAATAGATTCTGAATAATAGCTTCCCCCTCAATTAAACCTCAAAACTGCAAAAAGTACAGCCCTCAGCCCACACTCCTGCCTCAAAAGTGAACAAAGCCAGAGGACCCTCATAAGGAAGAACAGGAGATTGCACAAGCGAAGCAAAAGCAACCACACCTCCCCTGAAAAACAGAATTAAAGAAGGGGAGGGAAAGGGGGAGAGAGAGAAAAATCTACACAAATGGAAGAAAAACGAAAAGAAGAATATGGGTCTCTCCCAGACCCGTGGAAGAACGGACATTGAGAAAACTGACTTTGGAATGCAAACAATGAAGAGCCCCCAGAATGACTGGTCTCAAACTACAAACCTAGATATCAAGACATTAATAGAGAGATTAAAAAGAATTGAGGAGAGACAAGAAGAAACTAGGAAGGAGTTGATAACTAAGATAACAGTAACAAAGAATACTGTGAATGAAATAAATAACAAACTGATAAGCATGGAAAGCAGAATTAGCCAAGCAGAAGAATCTCAGAGCTTAAGGACCAAAATATAGAACTAATCCAAACTGTTAAAAACACGCTTAAAAAGACAGAACAAAACCTTCAAGAGATGAGCAATTACTTCAAGAGAAAGAACCTAAGAGTAATTGGCCTTCCTGAAACAGAAAGAGAAACAGAAACCACCTTGGAACAAACATTCTATGAGATTATTGAAGAAAACTTCCCTCATCTTATCAGTGATGCAAAAATTCACACACAAGAGATTCCGAGAACCCCTGCAAAACAACAAATGAGAAGACCAACTCCTAGACACATAATAATTCGCCTAAACAAAGTAGGTATAAAAGAAAAATCCTAAAGGCAGCAAGAGAAAAAAAGGCTAGATCACCTACCACGAAAGACCAATTAGAACAGCAGCAGACTTATCTACAGAAACCCTGCAGGCTAGGAGAGCTTGGAGCCCTATCTTCAAAGTCCTAAAAGATAAACAATTTCAACCAAGAATAATCTACCCAGCCAAGCTAAGCTTCATCAGTGAGGGAGAATTAAATTCTTTCCCAGATATGCAATCCCTAATAACTTACGCTCCCACCAGGCCACCTCTACAAGAAACACTTAAGAAAGTACTAAACACAGAAGAAAAGGAAAAAAGAACAACAACGTTCTTCACAAGAGTACAGGAAAAAGAGTAAAACACAAACAAACCAACCCCAAAACCAAAAGAAAGACAACAAACAAAGAGGAACAACAACAACTCTATAAGAACTTTTTGATAGGGACCAACTTTCACATTTCAATAATTAACCTGAATGTGAATGGACTAAGTGTACCACTGAAAAGACACAGAATGGCAAAATGGATAAATATCACCAGGCAACAATATACTGCCTTCAAGAGACCCATCTCACTAGAAAGGACACACACAGACTCAAAGAGGTTGGGAAACAAATTTTCAGGTGAATGAAACACAAAAGAAAGGAGGAGTCACGATCCTAATTTCAGACAAAATACCATTTAAACTATCAAAAATTTAAAAGATACAGAAGGCCACTACATAATGATAAAAGGTTCACTCCATCAACAAGAAATATCTATCCTAAACATATATGCACCCAATATAGGAGCACCAACTTTCATAAAGCAGCTTCTAGGAAAACTAAAGAAAGATATTGACTCTAACACCATCATAGCTGGGGACTTTAATACGCCACTCACAACCCTAGACAGATCATCAGTACAAAAAATCAGCAAAGAGATCCAGAACCTCAAAGTGACTCTTGACCAAATGGACTTAATTGATACCTACAGAACACTCCACCCAACGACTGCAGAATATACATTCTACTCAGCACCACATGGAACATATTCTAAGATTGACCACATACTTGGCCATAAATCAAACATAAACAAATTTCAAAAGATCGAAATTTTGTCATGCACCTTCTCAGACCACAATGGAATAAAAATAAACATCAACACCAACAAGCTTCCCCCCAAACCCACAAAGATATGGACACTAAACAGCATGATGCTAAACAACTCCTGAGTCAACAATGAAATCAAAACAGAGATTAAAAGATACCTGGAAACAAATGAAAAGACATCTTATCAAAATCTCTGGGATGCCATGAAAGCTGTAGTAAGAGGTGTAATTCATATCCCTGCAAACACACATGAAGAAAATGGAAGGATCACAAATCAACAGCCTAACAAGTCACCTTAGGAAGTTGGAAAAGCAAGATCACCAAAAGCCTAACTGCAGCAGAAGAATCCAGATCACTAAAATAAAAGCCCAAATCCGGGATATAGAAGACAAAAAGATAATACAAAAAAATCAATGAAACAAAAAGCTCGTTCTTTGAAAGAATAAACAAGATCGATGGTCCCTTAGCTAGGCTGATCAAGAAAAAAAGAGAAAACGCCCAAATAAATACAATCAAAAACACAAAAGATAAAATCACATCTGACCCCGAAGAAATACAAAAGATCATTAGAGACTACTATGTACACTTGTGCGGAAACAAACTGGAAAACCTTAAGGAAATGGAAGACTTTCTGATATCACACAACCTGCCCAGGTTGAAACAAGAAGAAATCGAGACCCTAAATAGACTAATAACAATCAAGGAAATTGACTATGTAATAAGAAAACTACCTACAAAAAAAGCCCTGGACCAGATGGCTTTCCAGCAGAATTCTGTAAGACATTTAAGGAGGAACTGATATCAATCCTACTGAAAGTATTCCAGGTGACGGAGAAAGATGGAACCCTCCCCAAATCATTTTATGAAGCTAACATCACATTGATACCCAAGCCAGGTAAAGATCCAACAAAGAAAGAGAACTACAGACCAATATCTTTGATGAACACAGATGCCAAAATTCTCAACAAGATTCTAGCAAACCAGATTCTACAACACATCTCAAAAATCATCCATCATGACCAAGTAGGCTTCATCCCTGGTATGCAAGGCTGGTTCAACATTCACAAGACAATAAATGCAATTAAATACATCAACAGACATCAGAACAAAAACCACATGACTACATCATTAGATGCAGAAAAAGCTTTTGACAAAATCCAGCACCCCTTCCTGATAAAAACCCTCAAACACCTAGGCATACATGGAACATACCTCAAAATAGTAAAAGCCATCTACGAGAAACCCACAGCTAGCATACTCCTAAACAGACAAAAATTGGAACCTTTTTCCCTGAAAACTGGAACAAACAAGGATGTCACTCTCTCCCCTCCTGTTCAATATAGTATTGGACGTCCTCACTAGAGCAATCAGAAAAGAGAAGGCAATCAGGGGTATCCAAATAGGAAAAGAGAAAGTCAAGTTATCCCTCTTTGCTAACATGATTGTGTACCTTGAAAACCCAAGAGAATCTGTCAAAAGCCTCCTTGCACTGATAAAGGACTTTGGCAAAGTCTCAGGGTATAAAATAAATGTAAAAAAGACAATTGCACTTCTTTAAATCAATAATAAACAAACAGAAACTCAAATAAAAAA